ATTGGTTTTCGTGGTATTCATTAAGTTTTGAATTATAAATACATAAATATGATTCTACGTTGATAGTAGGAATCATTACGACCGTACCGCTCCTTGTTGGTATTTTGCGTGGAATTAGCGTGCGCTGGAAGTCGAGTGGTGGAGAATGTAATCTGCAGAGGTCCTCTTGTTGTAGTGCGCTTGGTGAAATTGCTACTCTGAGAAGCGCAAGGGCGTAAATCCTTGACACTCCTTGTATCGAGCCACGTATGATGCTTTAGGTACGAGTCTCCTCTTGATGATAACATATTGAATTAATACCTGAGCCGGCCCTTGCAGGAGGAAGTTGCAGATGGGTCTTGGAGGAGGCGCATGCAGAAGGCGCAGCGTCTCGTCCGAAGGTCAGTATGGAAAGACTGTAGTCTTGCAGGAGGTGCATGCAGAAGACGCAGAGCCTCTTCTGTAGAATGTGAGGCACTTGTAGTATAGTGTGGTTTCTCTTAGTTGACTCAAGCAAGAATCCCTTTGTAGCTGGTATCCCTTCATACACCTTCAGCCGTTAGCGGGAGCTTTGCGATCGTATAGTACCTATCGCGGCTGGTGCATTCGCACCATTAGTGCCTTATTAGGCAGACTAGTACGTGCTTTCAATATTTGGTTTCTCATTCGATTAAATTCACAGAAATTCATTGTATTACCTATTTCTGTTATGAGTGCGTTGATGGTGCGCTTCTTATTTAATATTCACTCTTATAGTGCAATCAGTACTCCTGACTGCTTGAACAATGGCGCACTTAAATAGTTGTTAAATGTATTGGCTTCACTGTTGGCTTACTAGCTTATTGTTGCAGACTCTAGAAAAATTATGTGCGTATATATTGTAAAACTGACTGACTGGTATAAGACGGAGTTCAGTTACTGTGTAGTGTAATAACTGAGAACTGATTGATTGAGAAACTTACAGTAAGCTTACAAGCCTGTTGAATTCTCGCAAGAAACTGAAGGCTTAGTCGTTCCGTGGCGACTCTGTTGTGATGTATCGACTATTCTATGGCGGTCCTACTAAGGCAAACCTTGATTCATGCCATGGCGTCTTCACTGAGAGAATTTCACTAAGAGAGAGAGAGAGAAAGAGAGAGAACTTGTCGCGTGCGTCCGTTAAATAAGAGCACGGAAGATTACTTAGCTGGCAACAATGCATAGATGTTGCCATGCCGAAAGTCTTGCATGACGTCAGAGTTCAAGCTCTAGAACGTTCGAGAATTGTAGGGAAGCAAGCTTTAGACGGTTGGAGAATTCTACCATAGTTGCTATGTGATGATTAAATAAACATTATAGGACGTTCGCAAGCAAAGGCTTTAAAATCATCGAGAAATTTCGGAGTCAATGTTTACGATATTGCGAGCTATAACGATTACAAATTTAGGAAAATTTAATTTCTTGTAAAATGCTCCAATCCTGAACCAATTGGATTAAATAACATTTTAATGTTTTCTTCGATTTAAGAAATTCCTTTGTACATCCATTATTTATTTTTATAAAGCTTATACTTACAAATAATGATTAATGATTGCAAAAATAAAAAATTATTTAGATATATAGTTAAAATGAATGTTTTCAACTTTTATTCAAACAAAGTTTAAATTTTAATTGTATTATAAATAGTATATAACTACTTTGAAAACAATGTTATTAAGTTAATTCTTTGTTAACGATCTTATAATGTGATCCAATTTTAAAAACATTACCTAAAATTTTAATTTATTCTCAATAAGGACCACTTCAGGCAATTTCCCTAATAAAACGAGAGATAATTTAACATATATTGTTTTTTATCCAGCAATATTTTCAAAATGAAATAAGTAATTCCAATAAAACAAGGGAGAATAACCTTTTCATAATCTAATGATACGTAAACACTAATGTATGTATTTATAATTAAAAAACTTTATTATTTATATAGCAAATAAAAAATATGTAGTTGAAATTATTGAGATTTTCTAAGAATCTAAATGATAAATTTTGTATACTTGCTATAGCATACTTGTTTTAATAAATTACATATTTAACGTAAAGAATAAAATGTAAATTTTTAATTAATTTTCTTCAACAAAATAAAGATATTGTTATAATTTATAAAATATTATTCATTTCAACATAATCGTTTATAAGGCTATAGCTTCACAATATCTGGAAGAAATGGAATTATGAACTTTTTGGTTTTGAACAATTAAATGCTGACAATATATTTCTTATTTATTTTAATGGATATTTATATTTGTAATCACATTTTTTTACTTTTTGTGGCAAAACACAGTTCTATATTTACATTTCGAAGTAAATATGTTACACGTCTTGCTGGCGATTATCTCCCGTATTGGTAAACAAATTATTGCACATTTGCGCAATGTTTAATGTATGTATATAATATGTGCATAAGGAATATTAGAGCTAATTGTATGGAACAAATAGAGTAATAAAATAGTTATTAAAAAATGTAACTTAAAACATATATTCTAAACCCTGTCATCAATCCAATGCCCTAATTATTAAAATAGCGTACATTGGCTGTACTTTCACAATAAGTATCTCGGTAAATAATTAATAAATAGGAATTTCAAAATCAACTTATTGATCATGTAATCGAAGCAGATCTCCAACTATGCAATATGTTTACTTACGAATGAGGAAGCATAATATCTTGCTCGTCAAATTGAACATATTGAAGAATAATAATTATGAAGTGATATTGATAAGAAATGCACCGCAAAGATAAATGTTCCATGCAATCAACGCACCAATTCTTTCCACTCATCAGTTCTACAGTACCGGTAAAAGACAGACGCATTCGTATTTTCGCGCATAGCTGCGGGATCGCTTCCGTTTTGCGGTTCGTGCACACCAACTATACCTCATCAAATTAAATAGAATATTATTCATATGCTTTCACAAAAAATAGAGGAGCGGTGATAAATAGGAGCAGGGGGAAGATGATGGAGAAGAATGCACACACGTGTGAATGCATATTCTATCCTTTTTGAAAGAGCGAATGAGTACAATAGACGAGTGGCTTCGAGCGCTTTCCAAAAAATCATAGTTCTTTCAATACATTGCAGTTAAGCTACCGATAAATGAAGACAGTTTTTCTGTTCGTTTTCTTCAATTACGTAAACGATGAAATCTATAATTAAGACAAGCATTAGCTAGAAAATGCTTTAATCCTGATGTCTTTATTTTTTGATTTTCTGTTAATGGTATTTACATTTTCTTGACACTTGGAGAATAAATTGTTTTGTTTTTAATTTTAAGTATCATTGATTTGAGGAATTTAAACGGATTTTCGATAATTATTTGTAAAGCAATTTTTATATGTAACATCTTATTCTAATGAAAAAGTTAAAGAAACAATTAAAGAAAATGCAGATAAATTGAAAATTCATAAATAAGCGCGTGCAGAAATATTCATTTATATAGTCGATATTTTGATGTAATATAGTGAAATATGCTCTAAAAATAATATGTTTTTGATATTTATATAATAGAGAAATAGGAAAGCAATTCCAAGCTGCACTAATTATTCTATTTTTTACTATTCTAACTACAATTTCGCTGATTTTATATAAAATTGGTGAAATATATAATAAAGATAATTATATATGATTTGCCTAGTTTATTTAATAATATATATTAATATATTTTATATATCATTTATTAATAGTTTTATATGTTAATTTTATTTGTAATATGTAATTAATAATTAAATAAATTATATTTTTATAATATATTGTTATGTATATTGTATATTGTTATGTATCAAATTACCTTAAAAGAACAAATTTAAACGGAATTAATTTTATCTTATAAATACAAAACACAATAATTTTTTCGGTTAATTTTATTAAAAATATTATGTTTTAATTATATTTAATAGTTAAATTAAATAATTGAAATTCAATATAAAAACTACTCAATTATTCACAATTATTTTCAATTATTTACATTTTTACTTGCAATAAGATAACAAAAAGAATTTATAAATGTTCAACTGAAAATACATAAAATAATATAATGAAATATTTTTTACTAAGATTGATAAAAATATTGAATTGAAAAATTTAGTGATAATAAATTATTTTATAATATTTCACAACTATAGCTAAGCCGTATGTAAGTTAATAAATTTATATATTATAAATTTAGGTCAATAACATATAAATTGCTTATTTTTCATCTTACCTCCAAGATTAAAACCTTTATATAAAACTTATTTATGCATTAAGTTGCCATAAAATATTAATATTTTAATGATTCTAATTTTCATATTGTTGTTTTATTAAAGAGATTCTTAGAATTATGATCATCTAATACTTTATGACGGGCTGTAACGAGTTCCTCAAAACTATTGCAATTGAACTCGTGGAATCTCCATAAATAACATAGATCACATGTTTGCACAAAATGTATTATTTCATGGAGTACATAATAAATTTAAATGATTGGTGACTGCACATGTAAAACGTTCACTTATAAGCAAGAAAATATCGTATGGAGGATTTGATTTGAAGGCCTTATGAGTCTATTATGTTGGCAACATTGGTTTTTAATTTTAAATCTAATAAAGTAACCAAAAAATTTGCTAATATTTTGAGAATCAAATACTTGTAATATAGTATTTTATACAATGAAGAAATTATTTATCTATATCATAATCTTTTATATATATATATATATATATATATATATATATACAAAATTATTGAAAATGCTAGTATAAGACGTTGATAAGTAAATCAACCTTAGATTTGCGTAAAATATACAATCTTATTGAAATTTGTGTAACAGGAATTGTTAGTTTAAATTTTCAAAGAATTTATATTAAATTTTGATTAAATGCATTTAATATCATGATTAACAATTCCAAACATTTATAAGACAGTAAGGCTCGCCAAACAAGTAAATGTTCAAAACTTTCAATATCTATCCAAAACAAAATACAAAATCTGTATTATCCATGGTTCCAGGATAGAGATGAACAGACACGGTTGGAAATGAAACACCGCAAAGAGGAGGACGACCTGTACCGTAAGTTCGCCCATCATCGAGAGGAGGAGGATCGTCGAATACGCGAGGAATTTCGGGTAATTATACAGAGTGACTTCTTTATGGAATTCTATGTCTTTCTCTCTCTCTCTCTCTCTTTCTCTCTTTCTCTTTCTCTCATGGTTTTCTATATTATTACAAGGATGAGTGGGAAAAGGAATTGGAACAATTGTCGGAAAAGTGGGAGCGTGAGCGCGGCAACAAGATTCGCACTCAGCAGTTCCAGCAGGAGAAGGAGGATCTCGAGAAGAATATGACGCTGCGTAGGGATAAAAAGAAAGAGAGCCTTACTCGCAAGATGCTTGAGCACGAGAGGTGGGTCTCTTCCTGAGTCTCTTCCATGACTAATATCATTACATCATTTTCTACAGTTAACTATTGTAGACAATATGTAAAGAAAAAAAACAACTGCGGAGATCTCCAGGAATCTCAGCTGATGCGAAATTTTATGAATGTAGTATAAGATCGAACTCATATGAGCAGAAGCGTAGCATTCAGTTAATCCAAAATTATTATTAATAACTTCACATATATTACATTGAAAAATTCAAGTAAAAATTTTCATATTTAGTAAATATTTTGCTTTTTGCATTTTCAACGGAGATTTGTTGCAACTAATTAAAATTTAACTACTTAAAATAGAATATTACATTGAATAATTATAATTGAAATTCCATTATATACTATGTATACGTATTTCTATAAATATTTACGTTGATTATTAAATATGGGCGCCTAAAGCTATAAATCTATACATAATTTATATTATACAAATATAAATTGAAGATTATTTACTTTAACATCAATTTTTGAATAACAATAAATTAATCAATTAAAATCAAATAAGAGTATAAAATAATGAATTATTAATTTATTAAAATAATTCTTTCTTGTAAGTATTTATAAACTTTTATGAAAATCTAATGACATTGAATAATTTATTTGAGATATGAAATTAAAAGTTGAACGATAAATCAAATTCATAAATTGTAAACGAAAATATACGCAGAGCAGCGACGGCTGCACTAGTAGAAAAGCAGAGCTCGGAGATGTTGGAGCTCATAAATGAGGCGCGTAGTGAGTACATGCAACAGGAGAGCCTCTATCTAGATGAAGGTATCGACTACATCCAGGGCGCCCCACCGAGTCCATATCCATGGAGAGCGCCAGCGCCACATCCGCCTGCTCTCGCCAAGTATCAATTATACAACGATCCCTTGGAATTTGCCGACATCGACCAGATCGCCATCTCTGTGAGTCCGACTCTGTAACACCACATTGTCACAACTGCGTGTCATATTACGAGTTTGTGCAATATATTTTTTAACTTTCTTTTAGAATGACTTCAATAATAATTTAATATAATGCCAAAATTAAAATGGCATTTCAGTGAAAAATCACTCCTACATTGTGAAATTATTTAAATAATTACATCCTTGATAAATACATACGTATACAAGTATACGGCATAAGTAAAATATAGTTATGTTAGATAAATTTTACATTTTTATTTATTTTATGAACTGCAATTTAATTAAAAAATTTCTATAATAGATAATACAATAATTTTATTGTTGTATTCGATTTATTACTTTTTCGACAATGTTTGTCAGTATTCTTATGTTCAAGTTGACGAGCGATTGAAAATTATTTTCAATATAATATGAACACTAATTGTCTCAGAAAGAATTTAAATTATTTTATATTTTTCAGTAGTAAGTTTAAAAAAGTTCAGACTACATGTTGCTTACAGTGTTGAATTAAGGTTATATTATTATATACTTTCAATGGTGTTGATTATGGTTCTTAATAACATTTTGTAACAAAAGTTTAATTACTAAATTATCGATACGTAAGCTTTAAGAAAAATGAATGTCATATTTAGTAATATGAGGCATTTTTGTATATTGCTATCTTGAAGAACGAACAAGATCGTGAGTAGTTCCATATCACAATATTTTTTAGAGCTTATGCCTGAAACTTCTCTTATGATAAACGCTATCGCGTCCTTTGACAGAGCGTGTTAATGTCTAGCCTGGTCGTCTTGTTAGTGAATCGATGCGAAGTTCTTGATGCTTGGATTTAACGGAGCGAGTCCTTAGGTCGCGCAAGAGGACCAAAAAACCTTCACGGATCTGGTGCGACAACTGGTGAGCAAGTGCGGCTCGGATATTGAGAAAGCGCGCACAATTTTCCGTTGGATAACGGTGAAGAATCTCAACACGATGCAGTTCGATGAAAATCTGAGGGGCGACACGCCTATGGGCCTCTTGCGTGGTATCAAACACGGTACCGAGTCCTACCATGTACTTTTTAAGCGGCTGTGCAGCTACGCAGGGCTTCACTGCGTTGTCATCAAGGGCTACAGCAAGTCTGCGGGATACCAACCTGGGGTACGCTTCGAGGATAATCGTTTTCGCAACAGTTGGAACGCCGTTTATGTCGCTGGTTCCTGGAGATTCGTACAGTGTAACTGGGGAGCGAGGCATCTCGTTAATGCTAAAGAGATGCCACATCTCGGTCAACCCAAGGAGAAGAGCGACAGTCTCAGGTTGGTTTCCCTAACCGTTAAATTAGTTTTTTCATTTGTGGATGCGAGCTCATTCACATGATCTTTATATGCATAAATTTTATCCATCCATATATCTAGACTACATGTAAATATTAAAAAATTTTATATATAACTTAAACAAAAAATATTGTAAATCGTGTGACATTAAAATTCAATTTTTATTTAATCTCAATTCTAATGCAAATTCCGATTATTAATACACTATACTGCCAATAAATAACAATAATTAAGAAAATATTATTTTCAATTACCTTATTGGCTAATTGTATAGCCAATACTTAATTGTAGGATTTTAATTTAACAAAATATAATTTCAAAATTTACACAATAAACAAAACTTCTTGTTTTCTAAAATCATTAATAAACATTTGTTTTTATTGACTCATCGATACAAGAATCAGATTCACCTTATTCTATGTTCATTTCTTATATAATTCATGTTCATATTGTAATTTTTTTTTTTTTCAAATTATTTGTCAATCTTTGCATCTGTCATCTAGTTAACCCAAACGGAAAACCTATAAGTGCCCCTTTATATGATAAAAAATTCTTCACTATATAGTATCTTATATTATAATCTTTATATAATCTTTTATACACTTAATATAATTTGTTTAATGTTTAATTCATGTATGAATAAGTATATTACTATATAAAGTTATATCAATAATTAAATTAGTAATGCTTATGCTTATAATGTAATTTTATGATTGCGCCTACAAGTGTTTTTCTTTTTTTAGATACGAATATGACGATCACTACTTCCTAACAGACCCTCGTGAATTCATATACGAGTTTTTTCCACTACAAGAGGAGTGGCAACTTCTAAAGCAGCCAATTTCGCTTAAAGATTTTGAAGAATTGCCTTTTGTTCGTTCATTGTTCTTTAGGTAGGATATGCTTATTTAATCTTGTGTAATATATCAATCGATGGTCTTATTAATTTTTACGTATATCGTATATCACCTTCTCTTATCGAAAACAAACAAAATATACGGTCATGTTCGCACACATTCAGATATGGTCTGTACTTTCCTGACACAAATACTAATGCCGTTATGTATACTGATGCGACTGGGGCCGCGACGGTAAGGATAGCGATGCCGGCAAATATGCAATCCTCTCTAATTTTCCATTATAATCTCAAGTTTTACGACAGTGATGGCGACAATTACGATGGCGTCTCCTTAAAGAGATTTGTTATGCAAGTAAGTTATACAAAATAAATGATGTAGATATACTTTGTATTTATAGAAACTTATTTTCCTTTTAAATTTTAATTTTCTTACTTACCACTGGTAGTTATGAAATTTTAACTAGTCACAGTTTCAAATTATGGCTAATTTATAATACTTTATATAATTTATACTTTTATCGATATTTTCATATTGGCTTTTAGTTACTTTTATAAATTTTGTGCCTCAATTTCGATCGTATGGTAAAGTCGCATTTTTTAAACACGTCATAAGTATAGTTTTTAATTCTTAATTATGTTATTATTAAATAATATTATTATTATAAGACGCATGTAGATAAAAAGAAATTTAAAAAGTTTTTAAACTCTGCTTCTTCCATTGCCGTACCGATTCAAATTATGAATGTTCTTTAAAAGATATTAGAAACATCTATAACATCAATTAATCCGGGTATCTTACTTATGAAATTCATCCGTGAACATTGAGGTAGTCGTTAGATATCGCCAAAGTATCCGATTAAGATCGAAAATGATTTAAATTAGTGCAAAAATATTAAAATTATTCTTTCGGGAATGAATCCGTAGGACATTAGATTATTAAAGTACACCTGATTATGAAGAGATTACGTCGAGTACTCTAACCTTTATTTTGTTCTAGTCGGTGGTGGGTAACTTAGTGGCTTTCCGAGTTCACGCCCCGTGTTCGGGCGCCTTTCTGCTAGATGTATTCGCCAATGCAGTAACTCCGAAAGAGTACCTCACAGGTGAACCCATGAAGTTCAAGAGTGTGTGCAAGTTCAAGATATCGTGTGACGAGCTGCAGACTGTGATGGTTCCATTGCCGGATTGCGCGAGCGGCGAATGGGGTCCGACCAAAGCCACAAGACTCTTCGGCCTCGTACCGATCACGCATCAGGTAAAGCGATGCCCCGGATGTCGCTGCTACTGCGCTCGAGTGGCTATTGAATTGAGCTTCTAGAATAGCTTCTTTCTTTTTTGAATAATGTGCCCACGATCTATTTTGTGATGATTTATAACAGGAATCATTAAAAGGGCTAAAATTTAACTGTCAAATTTGAATTATATAATTGCATATATAATTAAAATACTTTATAATAAAAATAACATTTTTATTATATTTTTATTATAAAATATATCACAAGCTGCAAAATAATTATTGCAATAAACTTTTATGATACATTTGTACATTTTTAAATACAATATTTGATTACATTTCGTTTGGTTCAGGATATAAATACATACTTGTAAATTATATCTTAAAAGAAAAAAAAATTAAACTGAAAAGAAAATATTAAAAATAATTTGTTATTAATAGAGATAAAAGTTAAAAAATTATTAAAATTTATGATAACTGTAAAATATCTTCAATTACGCAGTCGTTGTATGCTTTGTGCAAACGTTCAATAAAATAATAAATGATCTATAAAACAATTACTGCAAATGGTTAGTTAGTTTGTAGAACTTAAACACTGTTCAATCAAAGTTGGCTTTTTAAAATTATTTGTTAATTGATCTCCGTTCAGATTCGTATGTCTAAGCCGACATTTAGTGCTATTTACATTGTTTGTAAATTCTTAATGTCTTGGCTTGTTCAAACAATGGAAGAATCGTAAAAATAAATTAATTCAAAATAAAGACCAGTAGTGTCTTAAATATATAGAATTTGCAATAAAAGTTTCTGGTATGTTTGTAGGAGGCCCTGGTGTTCGCAAGTCGCGAGCTTGAAATTCAGTTTCGAATGTCTCGTTCGCTGACGGACTTCATGGCTACGCTACATAAGAACGGTATCGAGGAGAAACGTCTATCCAAATACGTGAGTCATATGGTCACGGACGACGATGTCATTACATTCACAATAAATTTCCCCGAAGAGGGTCAATACGGTCTCGATATTTACACACGCGAGTCCACCACACCCACACATCATACTTCCTCCGGGGAAACCCATCTTCTTACGCACTGTTGCAAATATCTCATTAATTCCAGTAAACGAAATTGAAGGCTAACAATTTACGTTAAAAAATCTCGTGAATTTTATTCTTTAATTAATTTATATACAGAATACAACATGCTATTATTAAGTTTTTCAGATTTAAAAAAATATTAACTGTCTATTTGCTTATAGCGGATTATTAATTGATATATCATTAAAAATTAACACAAAATTGTATGTATGTTTGTTTTAAATTGTACAAAAATATTTGAAATATAAAATTTCTTAATACCGAATATTATATAGATATTATTTGAAGAATGTTTTTAAATTTAATGTTTTAAGAAATATTTTAAAATGGAAATATCTTACAAGTACTAAAAATGTACATTTAATATTAAATGAAAAATTCATCAAAAATTTTAAACAGAATTAATTACTCCAGTTAATTATTTGCGATTTATATATTATTATATAATTTTAAAACTTAAAATATGACTAAATTTATCGCCGTCTCAACGTAAATATTTTATTTCATTATTAATTTCATGTATTTAAAATAAATCTAGATTAACTAAAAGTTACCTTAATATCCATAGAATAATATATTTTTTTATACTAAAAGCAATAAATTTTTATAAATTAAATTAAGAAAATTTTGAAATAACATCGAATATTATTAACTTATCACTATGTTCATAAAATGATTGCTCAGTATTAATCTGTATTAATTATAAACGTATGAAAATAATTTTTTTGATCTAGAATATTTATGCTTTGGATTTATTCTATAATCTTTATATCTACTAAAACTATTTTTTTAATAAAAGATCAAATTTTTCAATCACAAACATATAATTTTTATATAATTTAATTTTATCTATACTAAAATATTAGATTTACCATTTATAATATATAGAATGCGAATTTGCTCAAAGATAATTTAAAAAAATGTGTTTAAGAATGTGAATTTGCTCAAAGATAATATTATTGAAAGCGTACAATATTATTATAACAGTTTCTTTACAGTTAAATATAAGACTCATGTAATTTTTAAAGGAAGAAAAATATCTTTAAATGTACAAATAATTCTTTTCTATATTTTTAATAATTATATCATTTATATTATAAGTAATTAGTAGTAATTAAAATAAACTTTACGAAAGTTTATAATTGTAAAATAGATAGTAAAATTTGGTACTAATTATTTTTTATTTAATTTTGAAAATATATATTGATCTCTTAACGAAATTCTAAACTAAAATTTTATTTTTTTTCTTTATAGTTTCCATTACTGAAGAAAGTTTTAAACGCATTAATATGGTACTTATGTATGAATGAATAAATATATTTTTAATATAGATATATACTTTATTAAAAGAATTTTATAAGGCAATTAAATCGTTGCTTCCCTATTCAACTTATTTATTTTGATTATGCAGTTTTTATGTGCTAAAATTTATTATTTACATTTACTGTTTCTTATTTTAAAAATAATGTTAATAGAAGAATTGTTTATTCATTGTATATAGCATTTCAATGTATTTTAACACATTTTTATATTTTATGTACCATTGCAAAATCATATAGACTGAAAATAAAGTCATTAATAACTTACTTTATTTAATTATAAATTAAGTTTATCTTATTTGTGGTTATTTTTATTATGATCAAATGTTTAAAATAATATTCACTGTCCTTGATAAAATGAATTTCTTTAAAAATATTAAGGACTGTATAAAATAGTGGTTTACAGAAAATAAATTGTATTTTAGTATTATTTCTTAAATATAAGATATATAAAAATAATATTCGCTTATAAAATAACTAAGAATTAGATTAAGGATGTGCAGTTGCTTCTTCGGAAGAATTTATTTTTTGCATATAAAATTGTTCTCCAAACCATTCTCTATGCATTTCCAAATAACTGAAACAAATTCAATATAATTTATAAAAATATAATAAAGAAATTGTTTTATGTAATAAAAGAAACAATAATAAATGTAAATATTAAAATATATATATAATATAGTTTTTATATATTAAGAAATCTTACCTTAAAAACATATCTAAATATTTCAATAAAACTTTTAATTTTTTACTAGGAATATCCGTCATCTGGAGTAAATCGGGTAATTTTACTGAAGTAAAAAAAATAATACTCTAATAAAAGTCTACTCAAATTCTTTAAATTAATTTTAATTTAATATGAAAATTGAACTACCAAATAGGCGTACTAAATGCACAGCACCATAAATCATTGATGGTTCTGGATGCGCTTCTTTTATTATAATTTCTGGCATTAATCGCCATTTATTTGATTCTTCTAATAGAGAAGTTATTTGTGCTGAATTTATAACAGGTACCGACATTCTAAGAGTTACTCCTCGAGGACTTGAACATCTTGAACTTGTACTTGCCATGCTATTCATACTGCAATAAATTATAAGATTTAAAGTTATTTAGATAGTTATCATTGCGTAAATTCACAAATTACCTTGATAAATTGCCTGTTTCTTGTTTTATTTCCTCAACAGGTCTTGGGGGTTTCGGCTCTTCAACTGAATTTAATCGACACGATCGTAATTTACGTTTTGTACTTGTAATATAAGCTGCTGTTGATTTTTCTATTTCCAGTTCTTGTTCTCTAAACGGCGGCAGATGAGAAAACTCCGGATCTTCAACTTCCTCTTTTATTACTATATCTGAACTATAGAGAAAAATTTTAGACAATAGAAATACAATAAAAGACCATATAATTCTATCTTAATTTAAAATACTTTGTAAGATAAATTTTAAATATTTTATAACTTAAAAATATATTGTATTGTACAAAAACTGATATTAAATTTTTAATACAAATTAATATGAAGAGAAATGTTTTAAATATTATAAATAAATAAAAAATTACATATTTGGTTCAAAGATTTCTTTGAAAATATAAAACAATTTCATGAAAAATAAAAATTATTGCAGGTATAATTTATAATTAGTTAATTGTTTAACTTACTTAAAATTTATATAAAACAGTTAACTTATAATATTATACATTTTATTATAATTCAGAAGAATAAATAACTATTTTTTAAAGTAGTTTGTATAAACTTAAAATATTAATAATTTTTTACAGGGCATTTGAACTCTAAGCAAAATAAAAATTTTTATTAAAATTTATGTTTCAATTTTTATAATTAACAATGTCTTTTATAGTAATTTTTCTATTTATTGAAATATGTGCCATAAATTTACTCTCCAATTTCTTCTTTTAGGGAAGTAGCTTCCTCAGTGCTTGTTATTGCAGGTATTAATTTCATTGTAGAATACTGTTCTTTTTCTTGTTTGTATAGAAGAAGATCGCTTAATGTAATATCAAAATATATTCTTAAGCCATCTGCAATCTCTCTGCATATGTTTATGTCACTTATTGTTTTTTCTAAACTATTTTGTATTTTATTTCTTTGTGGTTTCTCAGGAATATTTGTTAATTGGGTTGTTGTATAATGTTGTATCCAAGATTCTAAGATATTTGTTACTGTTGGTTGTGCAGGTAATACAGCAAGCTAAACAATAAAATGAATAATTATTAATCTTAACACAATCATTTCATGTTAATACTACGATTTTACTATAGCTCAATGAAATTAAAAATTAAAATATATCATTTATTGATGTTTTATTTTTTAGCAATAATAATCTTATTTAAAGCTTGCTCTAAATTTTACTTGTTCTAACTTATTCATGTATAAAAATTTGATCAGCTTACTTTATTTTTATCAACTATCAAGTCATGATCTTGTTCCAACACTCTTTTTAATGTAGCTCCTATTTCAAGATCGATTCCTGGTCGAATACTAGCACCTGATTGACTTCCACCACCACTATCTTCATCTCCTGATGTTTCTTCTTCATAATCTGAGCTACTTTCTGTATCTTCTTCTGTAACTATATCCTAAATTAAAATATTTGATTAAATTGTCATATAATTGCATAATAAATTATTTGATTATTACAATATATTGTAAACTTAAATATTAAATAATGTAAATATTTATATATTATTCATTTTATCTTCAGAATAATTTAATACAATATTTGGTTATTACACAAGATTTGTCATTAAATATCAATATTTCATTACTGAAAATATACTTAAAACATACTTCAGTATCATAATCTTCATGTTGTCCAGAACTACCATCTTCTGATGATCCAGTTGTTGCTGATGTAGCACGACTACCACTACTTCGAGCTCGTCGCTTTGCTTCTATACCAGATTCTACAGATCGATCTGAAAATTTATGGCTTCTTTTCTTCCGCTCTCTTCTATATAAATAGGCTCCTCTAAATATTAAATTAATTATAATTAAATCAATTTATATAAGGAAATCAATTTTATTAAATATAATATACAATTGTAATTGAGCTTTCTGGGCAAGGTCTCTTTGTAATTGACGATTTTCTTCTGTATCTTTGAGAACATATTCTTCTGTTACACAACGATCCCAAGAAGAATTCCATCCCTTGAATTAGGACACTATTGAATGAACATTTGATCCTGATAATAAAACCTCAATAAAAAAAAATATTTTACCTGAAAATGAATTAAATATTCTACTGCTTTTCTGCCTCTCTGATCTTTATTAATTATAACATCAAGTACCTAAAACAAATTTAACAATCATGTTTGCTGTTTGTCAATAATCACTTTTAAAATTACCCATTAAATTTTTAAACATTAATTATATGAGAATAACTATTTAATTAATACACTGATACACAGTTACTAAAAAAAGAGGTTTATGAATATATTTAAAAAATGCATAACAATATTGTTAAACATCGTAATTTGTTTTGAGGTTACCTTTGAATCATAAAGTACTTTCGCTTTTGTTGGATCAGGTTCATAACAAAGAACTTTTTCACCATCTGTAAATTTAAACTTCGGTCCTCGAGTCGATACCATTTTTTTTTATTATGGCATTTATACAAAAAAAAAATCAATGAAATATAAGCAACTTGGAGCCGGGAATGACTCCAAAATCGTCCATTTTCTTTTATTCAATTTTAATGATTCCTTATTTTTCCACGTATCTAAAAGTTCGAATTATCAAATAAAAAATTATAAAAAAGAACTATTGTCAAGTTATTATTTCATTTGATTTAATTATCTTCTCCTAAATTTGAAACATTTTAAATTTTAAATTACAATATTCATAGAATATTAGAATTTTCTTTCAATATTAAGTATACAATATCGAAATCAGTTTTAGGTATTAAAATAATTTTTAAAATATTTATTTAAGTTACTCTACATTTTAATAATTTCAAGCGCAAATATTTAATAAATGTATTTTTAATAAAAGTAGTACCATAAACCAATTAAAAAAGGATATGTGTATGTTCTACATAATCGGATTATATGTAAAGAAAGCAAGCAATAATGTAAATCCGTCATATCATTCATTTCTACACTGTTGTATAATTTGATTGGGTGTTGTCTAATTTTAAATTTATTGTTATGTTATTTATACAATATGTATATATATATAGTAAAAACTAACATAATTACAAAATAAAAAAAATAAAAATGTTATTTGAAAACAAAAATAATATAAATAATAAAATTTTTTCAAATCTAAGTTAGATTTTGTATCCAGATAATACAAAATGCAAACAAATATGTAAGTTTTTCAAAATCACAAAATAAAATGTTTAATAAAAATGTTTAGAATTAAACTAAATTACAAATATTATCCTTTTAAAACAATTGAAATAAATGCAACATTTTATATTTGAAAATTAAATATTCAATTTTTATTAAAAATTTGCTTATTAATATGGTCAATTGTAGATTCATTATATAAGTATTTAAAATTTGAAATAGCATATTACAAATACTGGATTGATAGAAGGTAATGGAAGGGGCTGTAAATGCAAAACAAGTAATATAAATTTTTTATAACACTTTTTTCATTTTCTGGTAAGTCTATGGTAATTAATAATTAATAACAAGAAAAAAACCTTCTTCATCAATGTGTCTACAGTAATTATTAAAAGGTACAATTAGCAAATTACTATGTTGTGTATTCACTTTGTGTAATAATAGATAATAATATAATTGTAATATTTTTTTCTTTATAATTATAGCGCAATTTTTCCGCATGTATTCGATTTCTCCCTTCTTTTTCTACAAATATAATATGTTATCTAATATTTTTACCTTTTTGTTCACATATCCACATTGGATTATTATCAATCAATTTGAATTTGTTAAACCTTCATTCTTATTTATATTATTTCAATAATCAAATACTAAAAATACAAATGTTTTATATGTTTGAAGCTAATTTTTGAAAGGTTCAAAGGGCGCAACTTCGCTGCTTTCAAAATACTTCATTTATTTTATCTTCCTTATATGCGTACGATAAAATATTTCGTATAACTTTGCCTATATAAAATTAAGGGGCTCATGAAGAAAATTTGCACTTGATAACTACATTATTTTCCGACTAAATAGAGAAAAATTTTTTCTTTCGCTTCGACATAATGATTATACTTTTTACACGGCGAAGTTAATTATATATCTTCTTCTTTTTCACAAAAATTTTCTTGAATTCCCCTGGAGAAAATAAGATTGCATATAGTTATTTATTTTTACCACAAATATTATACATAGAGAAATAAAGAAGAGGAGGAGGGTAGTAGTAGATGAAGATAGTTAAATAAAAAGATAATTAATTTATCATCAATTTCAAAAATTTAAGCGTGCATGTTATTTTACAATATTTTTCTCTTTCTTTATATTTTCAATATGCCATAATCATTTAAATATACACAATTCTAAAAAAAAACTACTTCAAAAGCCCTTTAATATTACCAAGGATTCTTATTATTTACTTAATTCTAAAGTACCATTATGTACACACGAAGCTTGATTCTTTAATCTTTAATCTATACAATTATGTAAACATAATGTTCAATAATAAAATTATAACGTAATAATGCCTAGCCTACAAATCTAATGTTGACAGGAATATTTTACAACAAAAATTACAATCTTTTCTTCACTTTATTTCATTCCTTATATTTATTTATCAATGTATGAAAATTTCCCTTCTCTCTTAATTTGTAGACACCGACCAGCTAAGTTTTACATTACACTTCACCCCATCACAATATAGAGTATAGACCAAATTAAATTTACTCTTCTCTCGCCTTTATTATTCTAATACGCATTATTTTATATATATACAGTTTCTCTTCCTTTCTTTACCCGCTACCTTTTTTCCGAATGAATACAAGCATGCTATTATGTACAATAAAGAAAGATAGCGAGTACAATCATTTGTTGAAACGATTTTTCATATAAGACAACCAACGCTGTTACTAAATAATTTAAAGTAGGCTTTATATGAATATAATTTAATTCGCAAAAATACAAAAGAAAGGTAATAAAATAAACAAGAGGTTTAGCAAAAAACAATGGCTTTCACTCTAACTGCTGTATGTAGAGGCTACAACAAAGTCATTTAATCAATAGAAAATCAATAGGTGATATAACTTAGTTATGAATATTTTTCTAATTAAGCTAAGATGTACAATAAAATATTCAGAAAATAATAAAATGTTATAAATATTTAAAATAATGTATAACATATTTGGTTCCACTAGAAGGTAATTAGTAAGTAGCACTTTAAAAATATTAAGATTTCAATGTAAGAATAAATATTTAACGTTTGATTTTATATTTAAGACATACAGCTTAAATATGTTTATTCGTGTGATATACATATTTTTTGTATTTTAAATTATTTATTATGTTTATGAGTTATAAAACCACATTATTTCAGAGTGATTGTTAATGTACATCTTCACTTAAAAGAAAAAAGAAAAAAAAACATTTAATAAAAAATAGACGAAGCAATAGTAATAGCTGTATATGTTTTCTATAAGAAATGATGGACACATGTCTTTTAAATTAACTTCAAATCATACAAATTAATATCCTTATATTCAGTGTAAAATAAAAAAAATAAAAATAGAAGGAAACATGTGATTAACTATTGTATATAATTACATATGTGTGATGTATTATAATTGAGAGCGAGCTCTAACCCGATAAGAAATGAGAATAGTTAATAGCTATAGACGTGTAATTAGGATATAAAAAAATGCATTTGCCACTGACACATAATTTTTTCTTATCTGTCACGTTAAACATCAAGAAATGTATTGGAATATATTTGCATAATAATAAACTAGAATATCTATTTTATATAAAAACAATAAGAGAAAAATTTGTGTGCTATTCACATGCACTTTTTATTCTGTATATCTATAAGAAAAATGCTAAGCGAGGAAGATATCAATGAGCTTTTTTAAATACGCGAGTTTTTTTAACAATATTACTAATAGTATAAAAATGGTTGCATAATTAACATAATCGTAATAGGGACAGTGAAGTTGCACGATTTTAATTATCACTAGATTTTCTTTCTTTTTAATAAAAATTTAAACAGACTTGATATTTACAATATAAGGTACCTTACATACTTTTCGAGAAATTATATACAAAATATATTCGTTCATATATTACTTATTGAAGTTAACATTTTATCAACTTCTCTCTCTTTTTATTTTTCTCACACTTCATTCTTCTACCGTTTTATTATTACTTACAATTTTCTGTATTTATCTGTGTAAATTTAAGTATGACTTATTTATCAATATTTCATTTATTTTGCTTATTTCATTGATAAGTATAAAATAAATCTTTCTTTAGATTTAACTCTACCTTAGTCCTCTGCTAACTCTGTACTCTGCTAAGGTCAACTAATAGACTGCAATCATAATTTACTTAATCGCCTTTTTCAATATGCATCTTCATTTTATAGATATTATCGTAATTTTATAATTAATACATTATTACTTACAATTATGCTTTTTCTATATGAAATATTTTTATGTTAAACATATTTTAATTATGAAAAATTTTTAAACAGAATTCCGAATTTTCACTGTAGAAATAAACATGATAAATAAATCATTAACATATTAATTTTTATTAGCCGTACATGACAGTTTAAATTGGGTAGAACAAAAAATATTAATAATGTATTTTAATAAATTGTTTTATAAACAGTCTCTTAGTTTAACTATGGTTTAGCAACTTGACCTATTTGAGCCTATTTGACATCTTTAAAATAAGAATTTGCAATTTGTACAAAATCAAATTTACACTGACAGTATGACAATTACAGCCCATTTGTATAAGATGTACCACATTTGGCCTTTTCTTACCATAAATTTCAGTGAATACAATTGAAAATTAAATTTTATTTTACTTGTAGCATAAATCTATGTAATATAATATTTTAATCAGGTTCAAGTCTTGTCAAGTTAAAAAAGTGAATTTTTCTTTGTACATTACATAGTTAAAGAATGTATTCATTGTTTTCATTATTATTAATGGGACCAAAAGTTATAAAAATTATAATGTCTCAAAAGATAACGAATAATTCAATCAAGACATTCAGGTAAACACAAGCGAAAATATTTTTCAATAACATTATAAGAGAACCAAGGAAAGCTAGTCAGTTATTTAATTTATCATAGTTTTAAACATACGTTATAAACTCTAATAACTTAACATCATCAATAAAATAAAAAAATAAAAAATAAAAAAATTATCTTTTTAATTCTATTACTAACAATCACTGGGATGTTAGGAAAATTTTCATCGATCTACCTGTCAAAACCCTTAAGTTGCTATCAATCGAAAAAATATAAAAAAGAAATGTTACAATAAAGAAAATAGAAAGTTATTAAAGCACAATTCTAACAATCTTTTGTCCTTAGGGCACTCCCTCGTCAGCTAGTCGTCCAACAGGAAATATGTTTAGCACCATTATTGTTTTTACATTGATCGGTTCATTGAATGATGCATAATAAATATTCACCAGGTGGAATCCAGCCGTAGGATGATAGCATAGCCATTGATAGCAGACAGATGATTAAACAGAGTGGCCTTGACGAGCGACGGTAGCTAATCACTGTCAAGGTCGCTTTCCGAAGGTCATTTGATATCTCGGGATATTCGCCTCCTTTTCGCCTGTTCTGCTGTTTCGGCTGTCACTAAAAAATCGTTCCCGCTGTACGAGGTCGTTCTATTAAAGAGTTATGTTAAAATATGTGTATGTGTCGTTATTTTTTCTTATTTAATTTCTGAATATGTGATATATTGAATGTGCAACATGTGTCTAATAATATTCAATAATTACCACTACTAATATGTACATTACAGGTTTTTAATTAGAAAAATTCGCCCGTTTTTGTACATTTCTGAGATATCACTTTAAATAGATAATACCTTATACAGTTTATAATAAATTTCTATTTTATTTAATAATCTTCAATGTCTAATGGTTAATCGTAATAAGGCGCTATTTTTATACAATCAATAGTTGTAATAAGTATTAGATTCTTTTCAATTAATATTGTTTAAAGCTTTGTTTTGTAAAATATAACTTAAGCATTCATAAACTATAAATCTATGGAATCTATAAATATATATGGATATCTATAAATATATGGAATCTATAAATTATGTTAAAAATCAATGTTTTATTATTAATTTTATATGTATATGAACAATGGCGTATTTATAATTGTTAAATAAAAAATTGAAAATCAGTTATCGTTATCAAATTGAAACTAACTAAACTAAATTATAAAACAAAAAAATTATATTTTTAATATAAAAATAAATAAATATGAAATGCAGATTTATATAGATGGTATCAATTACAGTATACATTTAAGAATTTCATAGTAATTTACTAAGAAAAAAATTAATACAAAATAAATATATTATAGTTAGCACATGATTACAGTTTTTATAGATGAAATGAGGGATAATGTTATGATGATGCTCTATCAGGAAACAAAAATTAAATAATATAATAAGGAAAATTATCTTATTATCAAAGTATCTTAAGAAAACATAGACTAATGAAAACTCATACATAAAGTACACTAGTATATAAATGCCAGTAGATGGCAATAAAATTATATTTGGAATTAAACAGACTCACGTTTGACATATATACTTTATATGATTACTATTAAAATTTTTTTATCGATTCTATTAAATGTTATTCTGATATAAGATTTTAATATAAAACTTCTATAAATAAAGTAATTAACTTAATTAGTAAATAAATTAATATAAATAAATTAATATTTACTTAACGATGTTAAATTCTGTAGCAATAGTGTAATAATACAGTATATATATATACTTAGTATATATTTTTTCTAGTGATAAAATCATTATTATTTACCTAGAATTCATTTATTTTGTACAAATATAAAAAAAAAAAAAAAATAAAATGATATCGTCTCAACAAATATAATCTTTGTATTGGAGAAACTGCTTTAAGAAGATGTCAATAATTAACTTTGCAACATTTTAATCATACATTGTCAATATATTTATAATTGTATATTATATATTTATAATAATTACGCATATGAGAAAAATTACTTCAAATTTTAGTTTTGCTAGCGTAATAATAAATTATATGTTTATAAATATATATATATATATATATAACCAATAATTATATTATAAGATGTATAAATGATTTCTTATATTTAAAAATAATAATTATTAAGTATAACTTTGACACATCGTTTTAAATTTCATCATTTAAAATTTTCTTGTCTATTTAATAGCATTTGATCTTTGAATGCACATATATCACAGCAGTAATACAATTTTTTTAGACGAAAACAAATCGGCCAAATAAGATTATCCTTAATAAAAAAGGCAGCATCAGATTCAGACCTAACTTTTTATAATGTGTATTAAGAATTTTTAGTAATCTCATTTCATATACAATTGAAGCCAACATGACGTATCATTAAAACAATCATTTAATTAAAGTAATTTTCTTTCTTAATTAATCTTCATATTCAATTTCAGCTAATTATCATTTAACAGAGAATGACTCCGTTTGTATTTCTTTAATAGTGCCGTATAGGTGCGTGTGAAGGTAGTACGAACTTACTCACCGGCAGCTCCGCTTCGAGTTTTCCGACGATTAACATCTTCCATAGAGCGTGAGGCACCTCTCGTGTTACCAGCAGGGGCGGCAAGAGGCGAGGCTGCGCTCTGCCGAACTGAACGCCTTGTTGTCACCTCACCCAAACTGATGGACTCATTACTTGAAACAGAGGTGCCTCGTAACCTTTCCTTCACCACTGTAGCCGAACCGCCGCTTATTGCAGTGCCCAACTGTTGTTGTGATTGTTGGGGCAGTTGTGATTGGTGATGTTGTTGTTGCAGCAGAAGGATCTGTTGCTGTTGCTGCTGCTGTTGAAGTTGTTGCTGCTGCTGTTGTTGTTGTTGATGGTGTTGTTGCTGTTGCTGGTGTAGCTGATGGTGCGAGTGCTGATGTTGCTGCTGTTGGGAGTGCTGTTGTTGAAGCTGCTTAATCGTAAGCAGTCTACTTTCGCGTTGAGTACGGACATTACTTGGATTGTAATTTTGCAGACTGGAGTGTAATTGCCCAACGGATGTTGTACTGATTGATGTGCTCCTGAACCGTAATTAATTTATAACACCTTTATATTTAAGGCTATTTTTTATCTTTGTAACTTTGGTTTAATTCTTAAGTGGCAGGTTGATTTATTTGAGTTATAGTTTAAAGGGCAAAAGAAAAATAACGAAATTCAGTATCTTAATATTTAAATATGGACATTGTATACACAGACATACATACGTATGTTTAGATATAAATAAAGAATTTGTATGATTAAAAATAAAAGTTACACAAAAATTTTTATTGATATGTAGTATTTCAAACAAGTTAGTCTTTTCGAATTTATTTTAAACAAATAAAAATTTTATTTTATTGTTTTTAAATGTGTCATATAATTCGTCACGTTTTCATTATAAAATTTAAGGCTAAAATACCACTATGAAATAAAAACTTTAAATTTATTTTTTGTACTAACATTTATATTAACTTTTTATGTATTTTTGAAAGAGTTGAATAAAAATATTCTAAAAAATTTATGAATATGTTAGCATTACATTTTTCGTTGTAACAATTACAAAGATCTGCAAACATATGTGTACTTGTAAATAGAGTCGAATTGGAAGATTCTTCCTATTATACCATTAGTATATAATTTAATAATATATTATATCTGACTATACTTCTGTAATATTAAAAAAATTAATGAAATTAAAAATTTACGTACCTTTGATCTTTAGATTTAGAAGATCCGGTGCACATTTCATCCACTGCTCTTATTTTTATTTTTCCAGAAATATCCATTGAATGTTCATCGTCAGATGATTCTATATCCACAAGCATTGGTCCTTGAACTAAGAAAATAATGCATTTTTGGTGCTATTGAACATATTAACACTAATAAAATATATCTATAAACAATAAAATCACACAAATCGAAGATATAATAATTATAATTGGCATACAAGTCTAAAACTTTCAAAATACAATATTAAAATATTAAAAAAAAAACATAAACGAAATGAATTAATAGTTCCTTTTTGAGTCAACTTTTTTAAATCTGGCTTCATCAACATGTCCTTTCAATTGTTTACTTTAATTTTTTTATTTTTAATTTATTGTAAAAGAGCAATTTCACCAAATATGAGTAAATTAATAATCCTAATTGAAAGCTTTATTAATCGATTCTAAATAATATAATGCTATCATTACTTTTAGTTCTACAAATGTGGCTTATATTAAATATAAAATTTAATACACGGTGGAAAAATTAGTTTTTATTGTCATTTACTTGTTTTGGTGTAGAAAAATTGTTTTCGTAAAATATTTTAAAAAATGGTACTAGTCCTGGAATGACATTTAGTTTAATTTAAAAATTATGAAGTAAGATTGTGTGCACAGTTCATTGTGAAATCAAATATTTTATTAATAAATTTTATCTTTAGTTATATGCATAAAAAGTAATACCAAATGTCAAATAAATTGCCTATACCAACAGAGTTCAACTTATTTCACCATATACACTTGATCTTATATGTTTGTTATTTTTACTTTCACATTTCATTAAAATAGACACCTTTTTTACTCTTGGACAGTATGTTGAAGCCCTTCTTAGATGTATCATCCTTGCCAGTAGAGAGTTGTCTCTTAACAGGACCACCAGTGCTTTCATCTACACCCATGCAAGCCTTAATAAGTCCAGCAGCGTTCTCCGAGCATTTCCGTTTACCTGGCCTTGGTTGCTGCTGCTGCTGCTGCTGCTGCTGCTGCTGTTGTTGTTGCTGCTGTGGTTGTTGTTGCTGCTGTTGCTGCTGTTGCTGTTGCTCCTCATTATTTGATGCAACGCTGCTCTCACTTTCCTGCCGCTTTCGTTTGCCTGCGGTTTTAATTGCTGAACCTGTTGCGATGGTCATATTGGCCGATATGACAGGCAACAATTTAGTCGTCGCGTTTACTAATTTAGGAATCGCTTTAGCATAGGGTGAGATGCTGCGCCGCTCTTGGGGGTTGCACTTGACTGCTTTAATATCAGGACTGTTGAGACCAGAGGTTTTCTGTGACCTCGTTCTCAGGGAACGCTTCTCGCTACTGATGCTGGAATCATTGGGTATTTCTATTAGAAGCTGTTCAAGGAGTGATTTAACTGGCCCTCGTTGTTTCGCTCCATATTCATCACTATTGAATTGACCAACAGCCTCATCGTTTTCCTCAAGGCAGATGACGTCTTGACGTCCCTCAAGTTCCTGCTTTCGTCGCCGTTTACGTTTCAAATGCTCTGCCGCAGTCACCATAGTTTCTGAAGGCTCGATTTCGGTGGGAGTGCGGGGTGCGGGACTTGGCGTCTCATCCCTCTGTAACACCACTGGGTTAGAGTAGGTATAGAGAGGCGGTGTTATGCGAATTGGCTGAGGATCGTCACCAGCCAATGGTGATTGTATATTCAGGTCACAGGTTGCCTCGGCCGCTTCTTTTTTCACGAGCTCTTCTCCAATCTTCTGCATGCTTGACACCAGTTCCCGCATCTGCTGGTTTTGTATATTAGATTTTTGGCTCCGATCTGGGATTGAAGTTCGTTCGGATCTGATATCTTCTTGCCGTTGCCTCGTATCGTCGATCTTCGGCTCCTCGCGTACCTCGATTTTGGATTCAACCGTGGGTTTTAGCTCAACTTTCATAGTTACCACTGAGCTGTTACCACTTGTACCAAGTTCCTCGCTGATCTCGGTCTTCTCTATCTTGAGCATATTACACGCGACATGATTTTGGATTACAGGCACACCGTTGCTACTACTATTAGTATTACTGTTATTACTATTACTATTATTATTACTACTATTATTGTTGTTATTATTATTGTTAATATTATTATTGTTGTTATTATTACTTTGTACGCGGATCGGAGTCGGATGCTCCTCGCCACTTGACCTCATTAAACTGTCACTCTCTAGAAACGGTATTTTCTCGTCTAACACGGTCTTAGCGTTGATCTCAACATTAACGTCCATCGTCGTTACATCAATGCTAGACATCTCAGCTTTGATACTATGATCGCTGACCCCACCAACATTACTACCCTGATCACATTTATTATTCAAATTGGGTGGCTCGATTTTCACCGGCACTTCACTCTTAATGCTCGCATTCACAAAAAATAATGCCGAGTCTTCAACGTTCATCGTGCATTCAGACTCATCAGCGTTAATAGTATTAATTATAGCCGATTTTGTTGTTGAGAGCGCCGTCAAGAGTGGACTACTACTCAGCTCTTTTTCACTTCCTAATTTTGACTTAACCAATTCGGGTATCGATGAGACCATGTTTTTATCAACATCGTCGTTTATATAATTTTCATAGCCGATCTTATTTTCCGACATGCTAATCCGCGAATTTGAACACATATCACTATTTCTGTTACTAATTGTTGAGGAAGGCACGTTGTTCTTATTTGTGGTCTGCAGTTGAGAATGGGGCGATGTTTCCCTCTGCTGCTGTATGCAACTGCTACTTTTAGGCATCGTCGATGTTATCATTGTCATTGTCATAGTCATCGTCGTCATCGCTGTCGCTGTCGCTGTCGCTGTCGCTGTCGCTGTCGCTATCGCTATCGCCGTCGCCGTCGCCGTCGCCGCTGTCACCGTCGCCGTCGCCGCTGTCACCGTCGCCGTCGTCGTCGTCGTCGTCGCCATCGTCGCCGTCGTCGTCGTCGCCGTCGTCGTCGTCGTCGTCGTCGTCGTCGTCGTCGTCGTCGTCGTCGTCGTCGTCGTCGTCGTCGTCGTCGTCGTCGTCGTCGTCGTCGTCGTCGTCGTCGTCGTCGTCGTCGTCGTCGTCGTCGTCGTCGTCGTCGTCGTCGTCGTCGTCGTCGTCGTCGTCGTCGTCGTCGTCGTCGTCGTCGTCGTCGTCGTCGTCGTCGTCGTCGTCGTCGTCGTCGTCGTCGTCGTCGTCGTCGTCGTCGTCGTCGTCGTCGTCGTCGTCGTCGTCGTCGTCGTCGTCGTCGTCGTCGTCGTCGTCGTCGTCGTCGTCGTCGTCGTCGTCGTCGTCGTCGTCGTCGTCGTCGTCGTCGTCGTCGTCGTCGTCGTCGTCGTCGTCGTCGTCGTCGTCGTCGTCGTCGTCGTCGTCGTCGTCGTCGTCGTCGTCGTCGTCGTCGTCGTCGTCGTCGTCGTCGTCGTCGTCGTCGTCGTCGTCGTCGTCGTCGTCGTCGTCGTCGTCGTCGTCGTCGTCGTCGTCGTCGTCGTCGTCGTCGTCGTCGTCGTCGTCGTCGTCGTCGTCGTCGTCGTCGTCGTCGTCGTCGTCGTCGTCGTCGTCGTCGTCGTCGTCGTCATTGTCGTCATCGTCATCGTCATGGTTCCAACAGTTTCATGACTAGCCGCAGGCCTATGAAGTGGCGATTCACCTTGATTTGGTGATTTTTCTGACAGAGCATCCATCGACTCAATACCGCTGTCCTCACCGGCAGCGTTACTACTATTACTATTGTTACTATTTATGTTGCCACTACTATTAGCGCCCACATTACCAATCGTATTGGGACTACATGTACTAGTTTCAACAATCCCGACCAAACTCATAGGATTCGTTAAACCTGCACTCTCGAGAAGCTTCTGCTTAACCTTTGGTTCGATCATATTTAATTCGCCAATAGGCAAGATTGCTTTCCCACTTCCAGTCAATTGTTCAACTACTAGTGAAGCTGACTGCTCTTGCTTATTAGTATGCTCAGAAAGCTTATCAAGCACTGAATTACTTTTAAGTAAACTAACACGTTGAACCGTTTCGATCTTTTTTGGTACAAGAATACTTTTATTGCTAAGAACATGATGATTCTGGGCGAGCTTTTTCATCTGAAGTGCAGCAGATGTCAGCTTATTTACATCGTTTATCATCAACGCATGGTTCTTCAGCTTCTGGCTAACATTTTGTATTTTACTGCTCAAATCCACTTCGGTTTTTGACTGTTTGCTCGTCAGCAGGGTTCTCGTTGAAATTGTCATCGCTGTCGTTGTCGCAGCAGCTGCTATTACTGCTGATGTAGTTGTTGTCGTTGGTGTCATTAACGTCGTTGTCATCGTTGTTATCGTCGTCGTCGTCGTCGTTATAGGCATTGTTGATTGCAGTTGATTGGTTTTCGAAATGAAAGACGAACTTTCTACAAATATTGCCGCTGTTCTGCTATCAAGACTGGGACTGTTAGTTTCTGATGATAAATTCGAAATCTTTGGCAGCGTGGGACTAAGGCTACTACCATTGTCGTTATCAAAGGTTGAATTAGAATTAATTTGTGCTCCGGTTGACTGTACACCGAACAGCATCGTTTTTTGCTGAGTAGGCTCTGACGTTGATTTTTGACCCGGCATCTGCGATACTTCAATATTTTGAGATTCTATGACAAAAGGATTTATAATTATATAATCATATAATCATTTAATTATTTTATAATAATAATAATTTATTATAATAATATTACGCAAAGAAGCATGAACTTTTGTATAATTAGATATCTTATACGAAATTTTTATAATTCCATAATAAAAAAATTATAAATGCAATTTAAATTATTATTATTTTTGATAGTAAAATTTATAATTTCATACTTAATTTGAATATCAGGGAAAATATACAAAATATATATAATAATATAAATTCATAATATAAAATTAAATACATATAAAGTTTAAATTAATATTAGTGACTTATGTAAAATTCATAATTTCTTACTTGATTTGAATATTAGGAGATGTGATTAGAATAATCTGATTATCAAATTACAAATACATATTTACAAAAAAAATTACCTGGTAAATGAAGATCTTTCTCGTCCACTAAGCTCAATCTCCTTCTTTTCTCTTGATTTACTAAATTCTTCCTCACGCCATTTGGTTCTGGTTGTTTCACACCAATAATAGCAACACTCTTTTCAGTAACAGTTCTACCTGTATTAATATCGCCGTCGCTTGTCCGTCTAATTTCGCCCACCCGCTTTGACGCATTATGATCATTGCTAGATGAAGCAATCGAGCCTTCAATTCCTCCAGTAACCAATGCCGACTTCTTCAACGCTTGGTTAGAGGCAGGACCATTGCCACCTTTGTAACCTAGTTTTCGCCATTTAGTTTGGTTATCCAATATACGACCGCCAGATAGTAAGTTCTGCTCCCGATGCAAGCCTTCGCCAGATTCTGACTTTTTCTTTGAATCTCTTCTTTTTGTTTTGCCTACAAAATTTGTAACTTTTATTAAATTTCATAAAAATATTTTTTAAATCAAACATATTCTTCTAGAAACCTTACTTTACTAGACAATTTGCATTGAAAAATATAAATTAATCAGATTAAACTTTATTTTACTGAACGTATATATTTGATATTATAATTTACAAGTCTAGATACAAAATTTTAACTTGTACTTATATTATGTATAAATTTAAATATATTTAAATTTAAATAAATAAATGTATATATATATATATATATACTAAATTAAAAGTAATATAAATTTTATGGGCATAATTTATTTAAAACATTCTAAAATAATTAATTTTGAAAAATACAAATAATTAATTTTTGTAATCTGTATTATTTAGTTAAAGAGACATTTCTGTAATAATTAATGAAATAATCATACAATTGCAAATGCATATGAGTAAATTTAAATAAATACATATATATAAAAGAATCAACATTTTTTAGAATAAAATAATTATAAATTGTTATGATGTAATTTATTCCTTTGTTTTCTTTTATTGTTTGTTAAACGAACGAAAAAATAAATAATTGTCTGAATTTAAAAGACTTAATATTCAAAACACAATATATAAATATCTCACCTCCACCAATTTTAGGTTCACTTGTATGATTAGGCAGATCAGCTTCAACGTGTAAATGCTGCTGAACATTTTGCACGATTTGTTGATTAAAAATGGAAGATTTATGCTTAAGTGGTGATGGTATTCTACTATTTAAGGGTATATCATCGACATCACTTCCGCCTTTACTCGGCGTTCCGACTGGTTGTTGTTGCTGCTGTTGCTGTTGTTGTAATCGTGGTACAGCATCAGCCGACAATGTATTATTATTGCCACTGTTACCTCCACTTAAATAGCTACTACTCTCTTGTTTTAAGGCATTAGATTTGTTCATAACGGTTTGAAGCGTATTGTTCATCTTTGCCAAGGCGTTAACGCTATTCACCAAGGCGCAATTTGACAAAGGCAATTTTGAGGTGGACGAAGTACCTATAATTATATCACATATTTCGATATCAAATTATAAAAATAATCACAATAATATTAATATATCTAATCTTGTTTTATATTTCACTAATAAATATTTGAATATAATATTTACATGCTATTTTCATTTTATATTTGAATCTTATGCTATAAAATAAAATAATAAATGTAGAGAATTAGATGTTCATAAGTATTATAATATGTTCTCACACTTAAGAGATATTAATTAAAATAAAATGTACGAGAACTTGGCTATTAATATTAAAAATAGCAACAAAAATGGAATATAAATGAAAATTTCACTTCTAATTTTACAAGCCCAAACAACTTTATACCTAAAATAATTTTATTATTTATTAAATAAACTTTATTGACAACTTCTGTAAATAAAAACTCCTTATTTGAATAAATTTATTAAATAATTACGTCTTTATTGAATATAGTTTTGTCTTAACATGAATTGTAGTTGAATAAATCTTATTAAATATATCAGTAGAACTCTAAAGTAATTAAATTGATTTGAATTCATAAATTATAGTCCCTTAAGTACTATAGAAACTAAATAATATTGTTGGAAAATATTCAAATTAAACCATAATTTAATACATATTTACATTCTTTAAACAACTTATTAGAAATAGTTAAAAAGAAAATATTATTATGTATTTATGACTGAAATGTTTTCATTAACAAAATTACAATGTCTTTATATTTTGAATGTAAAGCCTATTTAATACATTAAATGTTTACAAATTTTTATGGCTTTGTCAAATCATAAATTTAAAAATTAGAAGTTTTGATTGTTTAATAATATATAATTTAAAATAAATAAATCTGCATCTCACCTATAATCATATTTAAAGATTTTTTTTGTAACAGCTTGTTGCTCTCGGTAGCTTCCTTCAATTTCTTGAGCTTACCGCGGCGCTTCATGGTTGCTAAATCGAGCTCCGATTCTTTCAGTAATTTTTTTTCTTTTTTACCGATTTGTACGACTGAAGCATTTCGACCTCGCAACGATATATGCAACGGTGGTACACGAGGCTCTTCACCCGAAGCCACGCTACTACCACTTGCTGTTGTTGTAGTATTCGTACCTCCTGGTATTGTCACTGCCACTGCCACCGCTGACACTGTCGCCACTACCGTTGTAGACGAAGTTGATAATGTGGCAATCCCACTGGTTCCGATGGATCCAACATTAGGATTGGAAAGACTCCCGTTGTTTGTAAGTACCGATTTGCTCGTCGACTTGTCAATTTTCCTCATCGACGGCGTGTTTACGAAAGAAACATCAACCTTGTAAGCTGGCATCACTGGCTCGGATTTTTCTAATTTTAGCCTGTAATACTCCAAGCTTTTATTTAATGGACGAGTAATCATTTAATTTTAAAAGCGTGTTTTACTATTTATAATGTATTCTTATATTAGAAATTGATTTTAAAATTGATAATAAGAACAATTTTAAGCCTTTGAAATTACTTTTAAAAAGAAATAAGTAGTATTTCAGCATTTAATTATTGACATGTTTAAGTTTATTATTATTTAGTTGATATAATATTGGATAGATTAACGTTACCTGATTAAAAAAATATGTTTAATCATTCAAAAGCACAATAATAAACGAAAATAAATAAATATGATAATTCATTATCTTAAAATAATATCAATAAATAATGCAATATCTAAATTATAATTAAAGATAAAATTTAATTCAATTATATCATAAAGCATTTTACAAATTTCCATCTTTATTTGCATTAATTTAATTCTTTTTATAAATAAACTAATATTTTTAACTTTTTATATTTATTAAACAATTTTAATATAATAATAATTCCTAAGTCAAATTTAATTTTACATTAATTTTATAAAAGATAATCTTATTTATGATAGATAATTTTAAACATATTTAAATAATTTTAATGGATACTTAAAATATTACCTAAGTTTGATTTTCTCTGTAGGCATGGGACTATGTGAATCCCTACTCGATTTTAGCCTATTATGTTTCAGACTACCCTCACTTCCGGTCGATTTAGCAGTCGTTTCCGAGTCTGATTGATCAGTATTGGTAGTCGTCTCATTCCTCCTCGAGAAATTACTGTCTGCGTCATCATCAGAGAATATCGAATTAGAGCGATCGTTTGAAGGGGAGGGAAAAGAAAAGAAATCGTCTTGGGTTTCGAGGGCACTTTCTGGCTCCGAATCTGATGTGTCGCTAGGCATCGGCTCTAGTAAACCTGTTAATGGATTTATAAGGTACTGTCTAGGTTTGCCAGAGGATGTATAGTCAGGTTTGAGTGGTTCTGCTTCTGTTTTAGATGAATCATTAGTATTATTTTCATGTAATTCCGATGCAATTTTTGGTACCGATGTTGATACTGATACTGTTGTTAATACACTCATATGATTTGTAGTACCCTGTAACATAATTTTAAAGAAAGTGAAAAACTTGGTAAATTTAATTTATATATCTATATTTCAATTTATATTGAATTTATAAAATAAAATATACATTATTATCTGTCTCACCTTATTGTGCAGATAATGTACAATGGTTGAGTATGAATAATTCTTGAACAGTTATTTTGCAATTAAAATCACGGTTTAAAGTTTGCATTTACCAGGCATAAATTACTGCTGCTTTGCGAGAAGGCACCAGAAGTTGCTTGGCTCGTAGCTGTTGTCGTTCCCACTGTCGCCGCTGTTGTCACCATAGGCATACGTTGAGCCGCATTGATTTGAGCACTATGCGAAATGGAAATATTTTGAGCAGCCCAAGATGTGCCGCTCGTGGTCCCGTTTACTTCGCCGCTGATGCTCGTTGTCGATGGTACGGCGGTTACTGCTGATGTAGTTATCGTCGTTACCACCGCTCCTTGATAATTTCTGCTCAATATATTTTGACTCTGACCGTAGCGAAAATCATTCGTTGCCCCCGTGTTAACATTTATATTTTTCAGTTGGTTGTGATGGAGCTGTTGCTGTACATTCATACACTGACTCAATTGTTGCTGCTGTTGTACTTGTTGAAAACGAGGATATGGAGGAGGTGTTTGCTGACATGCTGTATTGACCGAGGATTGCATTGGCTAAAACAATTGGCATATTTACTTTAGTATATTATTTTATATCTAAAAACGGACTGAAATATTTGATACAAATAATACAAAAAAATTGTGGAGTAATCTACAAATGAATGCTAATCTTATATACTGCAGGGGTATTTAAAAAATTTAATTTATTAATTATTTGATATATATTAATTAAAAATAGTTTATTTAGAAGTTTTAATTTTATATACATTTTGTAAGTATATATAAACAGCATGCCTATACTTACTATTTGATGCAAACGATTTTAAAATACATTGGTTAATGATAAAATTAAATTATACAATTTATATTTTTACATACAAAATTATGTTTTGTATGAAGTGTCATTAATTAAATAAATAAAAATTACAATAAATGAATAAATAAAAATACATACTCGACCCGGTTGAATTCCCATATATGCCAACCTTTGTTGATTTATATTTATTCCTACAGGTGTGTGTTGAAGAATTTGTTGTTGCAACAACTGCCCACTGCTTGTAGCATTAGTTTGCAAAATTTGTTGTCCAGTTATCTGTTGTTGATTTTGCTGTTGAGTAGCTAAAACTTGTTGATTGATTTGTGGCTGTTGTTGTTGAAGAAGCAATTGTTGTCTTTGTTGTAAGGGTGCTCTCACCTTAATAATAATACACATATATTTAACACTGCGTAAACATTTATCTTATATTATTTATTTATAACATTTCGATATTAACTGGTGAGAATTTATTGAATGAAAAGAATCTATGTATTTAAAATTACCTGTTGACCGTTAACCGGAAACCTAGTAGCCAGTTGGCTTTGCATTTGAGGTTGTTGAGCAGACCCTATAGCAGTAGGCCTATAAGCTAATTCCTGTCTCACCGGGAATTTTTGCTGTATTTGTACTTGCGTATGCATCGCAGCCGGGATGACCGCCTGCTGCTGCTGAGGCACTGTTGAAGCTTGAGCTACATTCACCGCGGCAAAAGCCGAGGGTCCGTGCCCGAGATCCGCGATCACTGTTGTCGACACAATAAGATCTTCGGTTCTAAGAGAGTCGAGGTTAGGTGGTGAGACACTCGGTGACACCACAAGGTCTTTCCTCCTGACCGTTGGCTTTTTTTGCGGCCGCATGCGATTCGTCATGCTGTTGGAACCATCAACAGCCGGAGGTAGCATTTTTTGCTGTTGATTATTGATGTGGACGGTAGTAGAGTTTCCGCTGCAATTGCTGCTTGTTCCATCATTTTGGAGAAGATTTACCAAAAGTGGACTCGACAGGGCAACTTGATTACCACTAGTAGAACCACCACCAATCACCGGGTTTGTGATTAAAGAAGTACTACCATTCAGTGATGGACTAGACGTCATGATGTTCGTCGGTTTATACTGACTTGAACCAACTATTTTTACCTGAAATCAATGATCATTAGTATTTCAATAGTAAGCTTTATATAATCCTATTTTTAAGAAACAGATGTAGTAATCATTACCGTGGTAGTTTGAAATTTTATTGATTATATATTTATTTTTTAATTAAAAGTTATTAATGAAAAATTTTTAAATATTAAATCTACATATAAGTATTTATATTCTCTATTTATTAAAATAATCATAATTTACTTGAATGACAAACTCAATGGATAATTTTTTTAATCAATTTTCAATGTTTTTATTTTATAATTGCATAATAGAAAAATATTAGTATTGAGTTACAATTTTTTTATTAATATAATAATGTGTTCACAATTAAAATATATAACATTAAATTAAAAATTGTCAATAACTTAATAGTTAAGAAATAAAAAAGAAGAGATTAAATAAAATAATTAGTTAAGAATATAAAAAAGATAAAATAATAAAATTGCTAGTGGATTTATTAAACTAAATTTAATATCTAATAAACCATACTGGCTGTGGTGTTGTGTGTACAACTTGGGGTGAAGTAACCGTTGCAATCCCATCCTGGGCAGCAGGATACGGCGGTGGTGGTTGGGTATGATGTTTAAATTGCACTGTACCCTTTATCCCGGTTACTTGGGCTTGGGATACCTCGCGACTGTGTATAGCTTGAGCTGCATGGGTCATGCTAGCAAAGGGAAAGGGTCCGTTATAACTTGTCCTTGGAGAGGTACCACTCGTATTTGCCACCTGTTGCGCCCCAGGCGCGATATTGCCAACAACACTAGCTGCGTTTGATTGAACGGTTTTGGTGAGAAAAGATGGGATCGGATCACAGTCTGTCGGAGCGACAACATTTGGTGAACGAAATTGAGGTGATTTTTCAGAAGAACCTGTAAAAAAGAATTTTGGTTTACTTACTTGCAGTTAAATTTTTAAATTTTAAATTTGTACATTACAAGCTTTTTATACAACTACACATTTGTAACCTTAGATAAAAAATAAATTTTCTTTTCAATATAATTTGGTTTGATCATTATTTCATTAAATATTTTCATTGTAAATGGTAAAAAATATAATTTGTATTATTTATAATGCAAATATTTGAATTATACAGGTAGCTCATAAAATCAAATATATAAGCATAACGTAATCTAATATTTCAGTATCTGTATAAAGTACTATTAACTAATTATACATATAACAAAAACACAATAATACCATTTTAAAAAAGTCTAATATTTACCAGCCGTAATAATGTGAGCAACATTACGTAGAGTTGAAGATATATTAGAGGTATTACTAGGTCCAGGCACAGAAGTGGTATTACTATCTTTATTAGATATATTATTGGTGAAGTCGCTTTGAGTTTTGCTACCACTGTCTTGTGATGAACCTGAATGTAATACAATTTCTTGAGCTTCTCCTCCAAATCGTCCAGCTATCCTTAGTGATATCACCTATTGATATTTTATTAATAATAATTTATTTTTTAAGAATACTATCTTATTTTATTTTCTTTTATTGCCATAAAAAAATAATCGTAATAAACATGTAATTTAAAGATTACCATATACAAAAAATTAAGAAAACCGATAAATTTTTATTAGAAAACTTAATTATTTTATATCAATCAATATTTATAAAAAAATTGTATCTATACAAACAATTTGAAAACAATTTTAAAGATATAAGTTTTGAGGTGATTTATATAGCAAATTAAGAGCTAATAACAATTTTTTATTAACCACTGTCTGTTCCAAATATATTATAATTAACTTATATTGATTGAAATTATATTTTTGTTAAATTAAAAAAATTTTTTTGTTAATATGTAGTTAAATAGGAAATAATATATATAGATAATTAAAAGGTTTACTTGATCCCCTTCTACTTGAACTGAAAGTATTCCAAGTTGTGTGAGAGTTGTAGAACCCTGGGCTGCAAGTTCTCGCAGTCTTAAAGCAGCTTCTTTGGGAATTGAAAAAGTTACTCTTACTGAATTCCATGGTTCTACTTTATTTACTTTAAAAATTTGTCCTTTATCTATAAAAAAGACAAAATCAATTTTATAATAATCTTTTATTACTGATAAATATCATAAAATTAACGTTTCAAAAATCAATCGTTACCTTTACAAATAAGAAATTTAAGGCGATCTACGATGACTTTAAATTTATGCGGAAAGTCAGGATCCCGGATATTACCCTCACACGTTATCACTGTTTCAAGTAAATCACCATCGCTATCAGCCGCCATTTCTAAAATAAATCAATTTAAAGTTTAGTATTTTCTAAATTATATAAACGTCATTCTTTTATTATACAATGTATATGAATTCAATCTATTTAAGTGAAATTATAAATTAGTTTCATTTTTAATATATACCTTATATATTTTAAATTTGAAAAAATAGAAACTAACACAATATTAGACACTTGAATTTATCAACTCATTAAAAATTATGTTTATAGTAAAGATATGAAGAAAATAAAATAAAAAAAATTTTTAAAAGGAGCTTACCAACAATAAATCACATAACTACCCGAAAAGCTTGGGGCTGTCTCAAGGCATCAATGTAATATCTGTACAGCAAAATGTCTGTTTTACGATATGCAGGTGAATACACAAAAAATCCCTGCAACGTCACGTTTCAAAATTTATCCTATAAAAAATATAAAATACAATTATAGTTTTGAAATTTTTTTATTCATAGTAAAAAAAATTATTTACATTTCTTAACTTTTAAATTAAATCTAAATGTAGCTATAGATAATACAGAATATATGCATACTGAATTCCAGATATATTTTTTCAAATTAATATAATTAAGCACATGTATTAATCAATTATAATTAGCATAATTTGGTTTTCTATAATTGTATTTAAAATATACTATCTCAGTTAAGATAAAACTAATAAAATCTATATATTCCAAAATATTTACAATAAGTGAAAAATTATTTTTCAAAACCACTTAATTATTTAAGAATGTTTAATTTTTGTTTACCATATTACGGCTATAAGAAATAATCAAAGTATAAAATTAGTCATATATTTATAATAATTAAGAAATAAACATTAATTTCAAAATAAATGATCTATATATATCTATACAGTGTCAAGATGATATTACTTTCAATTATATTACATAAAATATTTAAAAAGCTTGATTAAAAAATAACTATAAGTAATATTACTTTATCTAACTATAGATGCAAATTTCAGTTAATATATATGTAAAATTATATATATCAAAATAATTCACAAAGCAATTATATTAGTTCATTTTAAATGTTACAATATAATATAAACATATCTATTAAAATAATAAAGTTTAAAATGGACTGAAAACCATTTTTAAAAAAAAATAGAAATTTTATTTTAAAGTATGTTAAAAAATATGTGAACAGGAATAAAATTATACTGTAGAATACATCGAATCTTATAGTATAATTTAATTCATTATTTATCACAACTGTAAAATATGTTTATACTCTCTCTCTCTCTCTCTCTCTCTCTCTCTCTCTATATATATATATATATATATATATATATATATATATTAGTTGATAAAGATAATTAATAAAGCCTAATAAATTTGAAAAAACAAATATTGAAAGAAAAAAATTCAATGCAAAAAACAAGTGAATAATAATTATATTTATAACTATGTAATAAAGTATTTTTTCTTTTAAAAATAATATAGAAACTATAGTTATTAAGTATATATAATATATGCACTACTTTCTAGGTTAAATTTTAAATTATTGTTCTTATATAAATAAGAAAGTGCCTATGGTACATGATACTATGAAAATATGTTAAATGTATATAAACTAATTCCATATCTTAAAATAATTTACAAAAAATTAAAAAAAGCATTATTAATAATATGTAAATACTATATTTTTCTATAATTTAAAACTAAAATTACTTTTAAGTTATTTCAAAAAATAAAGTTTGATTGAAAATTAGCGAAAATTAAAGTCAACTTTTGGATAAAATATTTCATTTCAAACACAGTTTTAACATGGAAAATAACAAACATAATAAAAGACTAATACATAAACCAAAAATTACTAAGTTAATATATAAAAAATTCACAAAATCAATTTATCAAAAATATAAAAAAATCAAACGATATATACATATAAAAAAGAAAAGAACAAAAAATTTTGAAACTCATTGTAACCCCATTAACACACCTGTTACCACCTCAAATAGTATTAGGTATTCATAAAAAATGAAAAACAGTCAAACAAGCCATCAATACGGGGAAAAAAGGCTTCCTGATTTGAGATAAGGGCACATTAAATTATTGACATTTAAAGAAAATTTTGTCAGAGCATAGCCTTCCAAACGACTAAAGAACAATCCTGTTTTCCTTTACACGAAACGAACGTTCCTCCTTCATCCGTACCCAACACAAAAGCAGAGTGCGCGCGCGTACGCACACGCGTTAATATTTCGTTTGCAGGTGCGCGCGCGCGTCGAACTTTTGTGTATATGCATATATGATCACACAAGTTACAGCTCCGACAGGTGAAAATCGCGTGTATACGCGAAACATACAATCAAACAAGAAATAGATAGAAATGAAAATAGCAAGGCCGTGAAAGGCCAAGAGAACAAAACGAGATGGTTCATCGCAAGTACAATATCGCTTTATACCAAAAACGACCAATCCACGAACACGAAAATATAATAACTTTTCATTTTTTCTTTCCTATGTTCTAGGAGATGCACTTTAACAGAGGTTATCATGACTCCTTCGTGTTGAACATCACGCTCTCTTTTTCTCAAGGGGGGCAAGAATCAAGAAACACACATCCTTCCTCTTATCGAAACACACGCATGACCGTCAGCCCTCTTTTTCCTTACATCTCTCTCTCTTTCTCTTTTCCTTGCCTATTCTCGCCCTATCGTCTGAATGTATTAAGGAAAAACTAGGATAACATAAAATATATTTTTAAAGGCGTGAGCGAGGAACTCTTTTATTTAAAACATTCATATCACTCGCTCTTACCGTCTGTCTGGTATAATACGTGTAGCCGTGCTGCAACCAGCAGCAACAACAGCAACAGCAGCAACAGCAGCAGCAACAGTAGCGGCAGTGGCGGTGGCGGTGGCGGCGGCAGCGGCGACGGCTGCGGCAGCGGCAACAACAGCAGCAGTAACAACAGCAACGGCAATGGAACCAACAAGGATACTAGGAACTAGATTTTGGTAGCCCGGAAAAATTATGCACCATAGCCAGGAGTGCAGGAACCCAAGCTGTCATTATTGGCAAGCGGGAACCCTCTTTCCTATGTGATAAAGGCCAAATCGCCGCGAAAATACGGTGCTCACGTACACTCACTCACACAAATGCAAAGCGGACGAGAGCGAGAGAGGTGCGCGCGTGCGTATACATGCGCGCATGCACGAATGCATATGAATTTGTGAGTATATACACATTGCAGAGGGCTACCATTTTGTCTGTTGGGGGAGGTGTACATGAAGGGGGCTCTGGTCGCGCAAGCATGCTCCCGTCGGCCGGAGTGCGCACGTATGCGCAGATTGACGCTTGCTCCGTAACTAAATGTGCGATATCGCACCAGTAAGGATGCACATTTACCCCATTTTCCGTCGTTTCGTCATCGAGGGGCTGCTACTTATTGCTGCCTCGCGCTCTTTCTAGCTTTTACTTTTTTTCTCACTTTCGACCTCCCTCGCGCTCTACAGCTATTAATTTGTGTGCACGAGAGAGAGAGAGGCAC